GAAAACTAATGGTACTAATTTCTTTTAATGGCAACAGTAACTGAAAACTTCATTGACATGTCACCTTGCATGTCAGTATATTGCTGTCAAAGTGTAAACAAACTTTATTTTAAATGTGCGCAATTGATTTTGTGAATGAAATTGCTAAAATCTTTTTATAGTCGTGAAAGAAAAGTGGTTCACAATGTGTTAAAGTATTTGTCGAAGAGAAATACCAAGGGTTCGGACAATATTTTCATTGAATAATGTTTCCAACAAAGGTTGTCAAATTGACTGACATGTTTATCGTATAGTACAGTCCACTATGAAAATTAGCTGTGGTTTGTTTCATCACCTTGCATGTCAGTCTATTGCTGTCAAAGTGTAAACAAACTTTATTTTAAATGTGCGCAATTGATTTTGTGAATTAAATTGCTAAAATCTTTTTATAGTCGTGAAAGAAAAGTGGTTCACAATGTGTTAAAGTATTTGTCGAAGAGAAATACTAAGGGTTCGGACAATATTTTCATTGAATAATTTTTCCGACACGGGTGTCAAATTGACTGACATGTTTATCGTATAGTACAGTCCACTATGAAAATTAGCTGTGGTTTGTTTCAACTACCTATTTTAAAGTTTTTTGACACTTTCTAAGTGTTGAATTTTATGGAATTGATAAAGAAGTACCGAGTTTGAAGCGTTCATGAGCAGACATTGCAGTTAAATATTCAAGTTCTGAATTTGATTATTGATGAATAATAAAATAAATCCTACTAGCTCGATTGATGTTTTCATTTAATTTATTTAAACCAGGCTACCTATAATATTATTTTTTCGTTAATTCATGAAATTATCAAATTAGCCCGTAATCCAGAATCCTGATACATAAACTTAGCCTATTAATTTAACACAGGTACGACTGTACTCAGTGTTGCACTATCAAATGCAATTGACGCGCCTCTATGCCAGGGTTTTTATGTTCCTGGTCAGGCTATACATCATATGTTTTTTTTTTTTAGATTTTTCATTTTCTTATTTTAGAAGTTAGAGGGGGGGGGGACCAAAATTTAGAAACCTCGATATCATTTTTGAAGACCTATCCATAGATACCCCACACGTATTGTTTGATGAAAAAAAAATTTTTGAGTTTCAGTTCTAAGTGTGGGAAGCCCCCAATATTTACATTACTATTATTTTTTTATTTTTGCATCAAAATTTTAATGCGGTTCACAGAATACATCTACCTACCGAGTTTCAACAGTATAACTTTTATAGTTTCAGAAAAAAATGGCTGTTACTGTGACATACGGACGGACAGACATGACAAATCTATAAGGGTTCCGTTTTTTGCCATTTGGCTACCCTAACAAGCTTTTATTCTGAAACTAGCTTTCCGCCCGCGGCTTCGCCCGCGTGGAATTTTGTCTGTCACAGAAAAACTTTATCGCGCGCGTCCCTGTTTCAAAAACCGGGATAAAAACTATCCTATGTTCTTTCCCGGGACTCAAACTATCTCTATGCCAAATTTCATCAAAATCGGTTGCGAGGTTTAAGCGGGAAAGCGTAACAGACAGACAGAGTTACTTTCGCATTTATAATATTAGTTGGGATGCAGTTGTACTAAAACGAAAATAATAATTGTACTTATGCAAGGTTCAAATAATTTCGAAAGCTTGTTCAAAGTCAGTCGTTTCATATATTTTTAGAACTCAAATACTACGATGCACAGTGGCAGTGGTGCTACAGCTTTGGTGCCGTAGTAATAAATGCTAAGGCGGACGTATTCTATCAGAATACAGCACTTTTATTTTTTGGCCGGCACTTTTGATTTTGGACCAAAATGGATGATGTCCTTATTTGAACATATTATATTTTTTTCGTTTTATTATCATGTGTTAACGGATTAACGATTAACGTTAACTTGCGTTAACTCTTGCGAAATGTAACGTTTTAACGTTTAACGAAGTTATTTTTTTTATTAACGGTTTAACGATTAACGAAGTTAACTATTTGATTAACGGTGCCCAGCTATGCTATAATCCTACTTATTACCAAATATTTAGATATTTTAAAAATAGTCCTTTTTTACCTTTCATACAAAAACCTGTTTGCCACCCTAGCTTTTTCATGTATTTTTGTTTCATAAAATGCGATACGTAACTAAATTATTGTAAATTTCTTTGTATTATCGTTCTACAGTAATCGCAGTTTCTGTATCAAATTGATTTTCTATGGGGTGTCATAATGAATTGGCAACTTAAAGCAAAAAAACAAAATGAGTCGCTCTCATTTACTATTTCGTTATTTACTCTTTAGTTACGATTTATTTCTACTTTCCCATGGTTTCTGAACAATCAGTTAAGCTTTTACATTTACAAATACATTAGTTTTTATTTCATTCAAAAATACCCAGTAGTTATGATTTTATAGGCATTCAAAGTTCGCTTAAATATTGAGTCCCGCCGACGGTCACGTGACCCCGTGTGACGTACATTCACAGCGTCCGCTCACTAGAAAACGGATATAAACATACTTAAATATTTTTTTTTTGTAAATATAAACTTATTATACATATTAACACCCAGACCCATCACAGAAATTAAAATTGAACCAAACCCAAACTTGATGCGATTGTGTCGTTTTATTGCGAATTACCTTCCAGCTCCATCATTAGACCCCGATTACTATATAGAATTAAAATACTCATCAATACAAAACGAACGAGCCCAAACTCGATGCATTTAAGTCGTTTTATTATAGAGTTCCTATGGCCACCTTCCAGCTCCATCATCAGATCAGCTCCATGTCATCATAATATTGCATGGTCATCCAAATCACATGTGTTTGCGAAATTTCAGCTTAATCGGTTGCCTGGAAGTGGGTCTTAATTCAGTTTGCAAGATTCCACCCATACAAATATGAGCCAGTCGTTGTAATATGACGTCACGCACGCGCATAAAATGGCGGGCCGGCCGCCGCCCGCACTTTTAAAATTCAATATCTTGGAAACTAATTAACGTATCGAAATAATTCTTTCACGAGTATTTTTTATTTTTAACAGAGAATACAGAAAGCTAAAAAACAAAATTAGTGAACATTCTTCATTACGAAAGAAAACAAAAATCTTGCAATTTGGACTTTATGTTGTTAATTAGCGACAGAAAAGGAGGCCTAATTATGGAAGGAGGTTGTAACGCCCCAACTGGCAAGGTGTGCCGTCAGCTTAATTGCGCCACGACTAATGTTCTCATTACGGGAACAACAACTTTTGTTTACTTCCAACTGAATTGTCTTTTCTTATACCTTTGCCTTATTGTACTGAAATTTTCTGACACACCCTGTAGGTAGGTAATTAGGTATTTTGGTTTGCCACGAATTAATTAATATTGCGTCAAAGTTAACTAAGTAACTACACTTACCAAGCAACTTAAACTTTTGTTACATTACTTTAATTACAACGATAAAGATCGTGTTATTTTTATAAACCGGCGAATATGTCGATCCATGTCGTTATTTCAAATATACGCCTATTGAACGATAATGCTTTGATGAACAAAAAAATACCTATCTAATAAAATATTTTTGAACTGTTAGGTACTTCCGTTTTAATGACTTATATACCTGCTTTATATATTTTTGGCTACACCGTAATCAGGCCCGTAATCAATAATTTCATCGTCGTCTCATTAGTGAAGGGAAACTTTTACGGCCAAGTTTTTCTCCAGTCGACATGGACTCATTATACATTCAGATAACTTGGTAACGACCCCTGGGGTCCATTACACCCGCATTCGTCCATCGGCTAACGAATGAACTTTGTTAAAAGTTATCGGTTCGCGCGTCTGTAATCGAATGAAAAGGGGCCAGCAACATAACTTTGTCACATTGAAGATGCAGTCACACTTCCCAAACTTGGATTGTTAGTTGGTGAGAGAATATTTTTAAAGCCTGTTTAAGTAGGGCATATGCATGAAGTCGAAAACTTACAATTGATTTGTAAAATAATATAATTTTACAGAACTTTAGTGAACTATCACTCCATTTTTTAAACGACATTTTCAAACTTATTTGAAAAGATACAAGTAGTGTTCAGTTTGGTTGGAATCTAAAATGCGAGGATTTATAAGAAAAACAATATTAGATAACAATCATTTTGAATAAAAGTTATAGGGCACAGACCACTGTGTTAGGCCTCAGCCTCGAACTTAGCGGGCAGCGGGGCGGCGGCGGCGGCGGCGCGGGAGCGGCAGGATCTTATGCTTAAAATCAAATAGACCGGTTCTCGAAAACAGCGGCGCGGCAGCGGCGCCGGAGCGGGCAACGAGCGGGCAGCGGCGAGGGAGCGGGCAACGAGCGGGCAGCGCACTCCTTCTTTTGCCCACAATAAATCGAGCGTTAGGAATAAATTTGAATCGAAATAAAATTGTCGCCGTTGTTCAGACATTTCGTTTGCGAATAAAAACAAATATCTCGACAACACAACCCCGAACACAACACTTCGCCGCTAAAGCGCCGCGCGAGCTGCCCGCTTGTTTCGAGAACGGGTCTGCGTTGCCCGCCCCGCTCCAGCGCCGCCGCCGCTCCCGCCCCGCTGCCCGCTAAGTTCGAGGCTGAGGCCTTATAGGGCCAAATAAGGGAGAGCGCTCATTTCATATCAAGATGCAGGATGCGTCGCGACCCTTGTATCTAAACTTGCGCACCCTTATGCCGATGCTACACTACTCCTAACACTACTCGCGATGTATGAACCTACAAACTTCGCTTCGCCTCGCCCGATTTCCGAAAATTGTAGGTAAATGCGCCCGAGTCTAATGGCTCAAAGAGCTCCAAAATTAGAACTTCGGTTAATTTCCTCGAAGATTCCGTCGAAACAACGAAGCGAGTAGTGTAGCGCCGACATTATTGCTAATTTCAGGCGAGAATGAAAAATCAATCGCTAAGCAATTCAATTTATTTTATAGATCATGAAACAGTAAATTGGTTTATATGTTAACAATAATGTTCTAGTTTCGGTTACATGAATTCTAAATGTGGTTACATGAATATTCTGTAGTAATTATTTGATTGAGAGTATAATAATGTATAATATGGAATATAATTTAACACGTTATGTAAGTCAAGAGTATTTCCACTGTCAATGGTTAAAATTCAATGTCACTGCACTGTAATGTCACAACTGAGCCCCATGTTATGTAGTCATTCAATGGTTATTGCTTTGCTTCATTTTCATGGCTCGCTCCTTGAAATATTGTCATCAGCCACGCCATCCAGTGAATGCCGGAGACCTGTGTAGAAGTACTATGATTAGTGTACGTAATCGTATTACGACATAATAAGCGTGATACATGAAGATTAGTTCTAGTTGCAATGACAATGGTCTTGTCGCAAGTACATTACATAACCATTTTAAGGGCTGATTTTACCATCGTCGGATAACTTTTAACTGATGAATAAGTTTGGCACATTGACAGTTTCAGTATAGGAAATATGTCAAATTGACAAGTTTATTCTTCAGTCAAAAGTTATCCGACGATGGTAAAATCAGCCCTTATTAGCATTTGTTATACTGTTTATCTTTATGTATTGTCTATTGTTGTCTGTTACTTATTTAATTGAGGTGGCGAGGCTCGTGCAAAGTGACACCTATTTCAAGTACGTAAGGTTGAAGTTACTGACGCGTTGAAGCTGGGAGCGGCCTGGGGTTGCGGCTGGCCGCACTGCTGCGCCAGGTTGCCGAAGGTCAGCGTGTTCTGCGTGGCTAGGCTCTCGAACGTAGCGTTGGACTGCGTCGGTGACCCAAATGCTGGACAGAAAGAAAAGATAAAATAAACTTTATACACACAAAAAGTAAATTAAAAAACTAGAAACGTAAAGGGATGTTGAAAAATAAGTGATAAAACAGTTATAAGAATATTGAGTCTCTGAGCGATCGCGTACTAGACGAGTGTTCCACCCGAATCCGGAAGATTTTGAAAGAGAAATCAGTTGATGGGTTTCGGATATAAACGAACCCATTATTCTAAATTAGAATTTCCTTAGGCACATATTATTCACAATATCAACCTGCGGAAATCAATGACATCGTTAAATAGCTTTGTTTTAAAACTTCAGGTCTTATGCCCGTTTTCACCATCAATCCCTAATTTTTAAGTGACCCTTATGAAAACAAAATTCCTGTTATGGTAACATCTTAGGGGTCACTTAAAAATTAGGATTGATGGTGAACACGGGCATTAATTTTACAATTCCAAAGGTTTGTTAGCTTACCGGGTCCAGGGGATCCACCAAACACTTTTCCAGGAGAGGTGCTGCCGAACGCCGGCGCCCCGCCGAAAGTGGCGCCGCCGCCGAACGCCGCCGGCGCGCCGAAACCACTGGTCGGGCTCTTGTTAAACCCGCCGAACGAGCCGAAACCACTTGATGCAGTTGGGGAGCCGAAACTATGAACATAACAAATACATTATGCTCTCTTCTTCATTGCTATGTCTTTCGAGGTGCCTGTGTGTGCTGGAGCATAATTTATTCAGGTGACGTACATAACTAAATGATTTTGCTTACCCGGTAGATTGTCCAAACACTGGTTTTGATCCGAAGACTGGAGAGCCACCGAACGCAGGCGCTGTAAAAACGTTTTTTACTAAGTCTTTTTGTACTTTTTATTTATTGCAATAAAAATGTATAAAACTGTAACCCGATATCGGAATAAAATTCGTTTTGTTCCACTCGTTCGGCTCGAATAAGTGTGCGTTTTTAAAATGTAGCCTATTTTATCCGGGCCATAACAACGAATCGATGTTTTTTTATTTAGCTTCTTTTTTCTTCATCAGCATATCAGAAAAATAGTACCTATTACCAGAATTGTGTTAACATGAACTCACAGGCCTGTTGCTGCGGCGAGCCGAATGCCGGCGCTTGTTGCGGGCTGCCGAAGCCCTGGGCCGCCGGCTGCGGAGTGCTGAAGCTACCGCCAGTGGCTGACCCGAAGATTGATGATGCTTGCGTGGACGGCTGTTGACCTGGTGGAGTTTATAAAATAGATGTGGTGGGCACAACAAAGGTACCTACTGCTTTAACGCTTCTTCTACTTCTCACACTTTTTTTTATGCAGAACAAGGCAAGTACTTGACTGCAAGCAAGCAATCACACCTGATGTTAAGTGAGATGCAGTCTAGGATTCACTTCGTCAAATGACATACTTTTTATAGGATGTCAAAAAGCTACTCTCCCATAAATTTTTGAAGGCAATGGGGATATGATATGGTAACAAACTGATAGTTGATTGATTGATTACATAGCCATTAAAAATCAAATTTTAATTGAAAATTAACTGACCTTATTATTTGCGATAAGTATCCAATAACATGAACATTGAATCATAAAAACGGACAATAATAGACATTGCCAACATTTTTTATTTGACTATTGCTTTTTTAACTACTAACCGAATCCAGAGCCAAAGCCGGTAGACGTGGTGTTGCTAGCGCCACCGGACCAGAAGTTGTTGGCCTGAGGTTGCTTCTGGCCGAAAGCTGCGCCTCCGCCAAAGATGGAAGCGGCTGTCTGGTTGTTCTGGCCAAACAGCGTCTTGCCGCCGAACACGTTTGTGTTAGCACCGCCGAAAACCGATCCTGGAGAACTGTGGACGAAAGTAATTTGGTGTTGATATCTAATAAACTGAAAAAGATACGTTGCTGTAGCGCCATCTAGGAAGCTAATTGTAATGTCTTTGTATTATATCATTAAAGTGAGCCAAAAGTGCAAATTAGCGCCTTTTATTGTCTCAGAAATATAGTAACTTATAAGTATATTTACCTTCCTCCAAATATGCTTCCTCCTGTATTTTGCGACGGCGCATTCGTAGTTGATATGCTAGCGGCCGCGAACAGGTTGGATTCGGCGCCACCGAACAGCGAACCGCCCGTCGTCGCCGGCGTAGACCCAAACACCGACGTTTGCGTTGTCGGCGTAGCACTCCCGAACACCGACGCCTGTGTTGTCTGCGTAGGACTCCCGAATACCGACGCTTGGGTGGTTTGAGTTGGACTTCCGAACACCGACGCTTGTGTTGTTTGTGTTGGAGTTCCAAATACAGATGCTTGCGTTGTCTGCGTTGGGCTTCCAAACACCGACGCTTGTGTCGTTTGAGTTGGACTTCCGAAGACCGACGCTTGCGTTGTCGGCGTAGGGCTACCGAACACCGACGCTTGTGTCGTCGGCGCTGCCCCGAACACAGACGTTTGGCCCGAAGGGGACCCGAAGAGCGACGGTTGTGACGTCGGCGGAGACGATCCAAACACTGACTGTGTCGCCCCACCACCAAATACTGAAGCTTGCGTCGTAGCCGTCCCTGAGCCAAACACGCTTTGCGCTGTAGTCGCGGGGGTACCGAACACGGATGTCTGATTCGACGCCGCCGAAGCGAATAAACTTTGAGCTGTAGTCGCGGGAACACCAAATACGGACGCCTGTGTTGTGGCAACACCGAAAGCGCTAGTTGTGGCTGGGGTCGTCGAAGTTCCAAACACGGAGGATTGATTCGAAGCTGTGCCAAATAATGACCCAGTAGTCGCCGTTGAAAAGACTGACGATGGCGTCGATGTAGCTTGGGCGAATACTGACGGCGTCGACGCGAAGACCGATTGTGTAGTCGATGTAACTCCAAAAGCAGATGTGGCAGTTGTAGCTGTTTTGGCGTCGCTACTGAATAAACTGGGAGTTGTACTGGTGCCAAAGACGGAACTTGTGGCTGTATTTGCGCCCGAGCCGAATATTGAGCCCGAGCTCGACCCAAAGACACTTGAAGGCGAGGATGGCGAGGACGAGTTAAATATTGACCCGGATTGGGTTGTCTTTGGTGATGAAGCCACGGCGGCACTGAATAAAGACGATGCAGATGTGGCAGTTGACACTAAGGCAGGCTTTTCAGTTGTATCGGCCGAGGTTACGGTAGCAGATGTTGACGTAGGAGCAGATTCGGTTTGGGTTGACGTAGGCAATGCAGATCCGAAGAGCGGTTGTGGTTTCACAGCTGAAAACAAGTTAATTAGTAGGCGCTTGAAATAAATATACTGGGATACAATAGTAGCATATAAAATACATACTCGTAGGAGAAGTTGCATGTGCTTGCGCAAATAATGATGAAGCACTTGATGAGACGGAGCTAGGAGGCGTGGCAGTTGGTGGAACTTTTTCCTCCACTTTAGGGGGTTCCGGTTTTACCTCTGGTTTGGTTTCTGCAGGTTTCTCTGGTTCACCTGAAGACGAAGTAACAAATTAAATTTTGAAAAGGAATTACCCATCTTGCAGAGAGAAATATTCTTAAGCCTCCAAATCATAAATAATATTCTAAGTGGAATTTTTGCGCTTAGAAAATTACTAAACCATATCTAGATTAGTACGTACTTATGGTGGTCACACTTGGTGTAGTTGTAAGTGAAGATCCAAAGTTGAAGCTTTGTTGACTGAACGGTTTGACTTCTTCTTTCTTATCATTTTTATCAGGCTCATTCACCACACTCTCAGCTACTTTCTCTGGGATATTTTCTTTGGCTTTTTCGGCTACCTTGAGAGCAATTTTGATGGGTTGTTTGATTTCTCCTTTCGCTTCAAGCGGTTTCTGTTCTGGTTGTTTATTTTCTGACAAAAGCGAGGTGTTAGGAGCACTTGCAGAGCTTTGTAGCTTGCCCTGCAAGTTACTGAACATGTTTTGCGTATCTAACGCACGAGCCAAAGTCAACGGTTCGGGCGATGTTGCTTCAGATGTAATGGGGGATGAACCAACTGAAAACAAAAACATCTTAATTTATTGGGGAAATGTGCAATCGTAACGCGGCTATCGTAACTTGTCTAACTTTTTCACTATTGTGAGTGAGATGGAAGTTTAAAGTATCGAATTAGTTCGACAATGTTCAAGTAATTTGAAGACTTATTGAAAAAAAGCACGTTGCCGAAGACCAGCGCTGCAATAGATCTACGTCATTGGTAGTTTGAATGAGGGCTATCGTTTTTATACTTAACAGTTGGCACCCCTGGCGATTGACAGGACCTTACTCTACAGTGGCGCCATCTTGATGAGTGCCAATGCGATAGTCCTCCTACCACTTTAGCGCTCACCAGTTGGTGCCACTGTCTTCGCTACTAGCAAGTGACAGGACCTTACTCTACAGTGGCGCTAACTGGTGAGCGCTAAAACGATAGCCCTCATTGGGTTCTTTCCACACTATTGGACAAAAATCCAGGCCTGGAAAAACCAATTTAAAAAAACTTATAGTCACGTTGACAGGTATGTACGTATAAGTTAAAGTCTGCCATAAAGCTTAATGAGCATAATACCAAGAAGAAACGTAAGAAGAATACTCACAAGAAAACGTGCCAGTAGGCGAGCATATCTTCTGTCCCATGAACGTATTGGCATCATTCTTAGCAGTAGCATTGGCCTGTTTATTTTGCAGCAGGTCTTTTAGCACGCTGCGTGTGTTCGCAGATGGCGACTGCGGTTGTGGCGAGGCAAAGCTGGGAGGTTTGGGCGGCTGCGTTTGGAGTGGGAGAGGTTTGGGCGCCTCTGTGGCCTTTGGTGGCTCTGGTTCTGGAAAATAAGTTAGTTGAACAGACTTAAATGAGGCAGTATAGTACGAGAGAGGACTCTAAGAAACCCTATTACGTCACTTGATACTAAGATAAGCTCCATGGCACATGTTCAGAACAGTTGTGCTAAGCTTGGAATCGATAAGCGCCGCCGATTCTAATAAATTGCATTTACAGTAGGCGCGCGAGTTCATGTCCATCCTGAGGAATGCGGTAGTGCTGTTACCTAACTAATTATGCTAATGTCGATATCGATAATAATTACCAATTAAGTAGGTCAACCTTATCTACTTATTCCATATTTTTGCAACTTATAATTAAGTATAAGTATAAGTAAATAAGTAAGTAAGTAAGGCCCCGATGGACATGAACTCGCGTGCCTACTGTACGTGCAATTTATTAGAATCAGTCAGTTGCCCCTTTGTTCCTTTGTAGAGTGAAGAATACCCAAATAAGTAACAAACAATCTTTATAAATGATAAAATAATATATAATAACTTACTACCTGTAAACAGCGTTCGAGCGACGGCATTCAAACCAGGTATAGCTGGTTTAGCGTTGTTTGAGAGTGGCGTGAAAGATGGCACTGAGATTGGGAACGGATCCTGGGCCTTCTCTGGTTTAGGCTCAACCTTGATCACATCTGGTGGAGCTTGAACTGAAAAAGAAAATCAGGATTTGCTTTTAATTAACAAAAGAATGATCGAACACGAACTCTTGTCTGTGTTTAAATAACGAGTAACACTGGATGTGATGAACAAGTGGTCAAAACGTGTCTTTCGATTTTATTTTTTTTGCAAAGTGTAGGTATTTATTTCATTGCGATTTCTAACAGACTTGCGGATTATTAATGAAGTTATTGAGCTACGTTAACGGCCTAGTATTCAGCTACTTATGGTACTCCTTAGCACTTACCTTGTTTTTCAGGGGGGTCAAAGTACACGTGTTTCTCCTCCCTTCGCTGCAACCTTAGCGCCGCTTTATTCCTTAACTCCTGTTGCTTTATTAACAACTGCGCTTGTCTTTCCTTCAATACAGCTTGGGCCTTCAGCAGTCTTTCTTTTTCCTTCTGCCTCTCTTCTTCAGTCATCGCATCTATCTCGGCTTGTTCCTGTGCCTCTCTCTCTTTAGCGGCCTTTTCGTAGCTCATTCTCATATTTGCTAGCTGCTGTCTTAGTTCCACATTGAAGGGTTTGACTTTGACGGTCTTGTGGTTGGATAGCATGTCTCTGAGCGCGTCCAGCTTTTGGGCGCTCAGTAGAGGCTCACTGGTCTTTTTTTGTGGTTCTAGGCTCATGTTTAGAATGTTTTTGGATAATTTTGTTAGTTGATCCCTGGAAGTAAGTTGAGACGTTTTTTGTTATTAAAGTGTTAAGGACCAAATAATATAATTTACTAAGTAACTATATTAGTTGCGATTCAGTTTGTAAAATACAATATTACTTGCTTAAAGTTTGTTTTTAACTAAAGTTAAAATCAAGTCATTCAATGCTTTTAATTATCAAAAATCACTACAAATTGAAATTGCTATGATAGACATTTAAGTCTTGTGACGTCACACAACACGTAAGCAACACGCAGCGTTCATCCCATCCCACCACAGTACAGGCGCGTGTTATAGACGTCACGCTCAGCTAATTTCATACATTAAAACCTAACATATTCCTTATTGACGGCTTAAATTGAAACTGACTTACTTGTTTTTAAAAGGGGTGCTTCTCAACAGCGAAGTCGATCTGAACATGGGACTAGTATCGACTTCTTTGAGGGTGTTCTTGAAGGTTCTCAACATGGCCTCCTGGCGACTCAGTATCTCCTGCTGCTTGACTAGAGGCTGGTAGACTTCATCTAGCACTGGTCGGATCATGCGCGGGCCGGGTCTTGAAAGGATTATTATAATTTTTAATAAATACTTACATATAATACAGATTACAGGAGGACAGTATACAGACACATCCAGAGCCTATTGTTACATGGAAAAATATTTCATTCGTCAATGGTGATTGAATCACTATTTGCTCCAGATTAACTTTTGTATTTGAAGTCTTTAAGTACGATATTTAATTAGGAAATCCGGCTCGAAGGACCAGTCTTTAATTAAAGTAATATCAGGCCTGTTCATCTCCGCGAGTTTAATTCGAAAACAAAACACGCACGATGGCCCACCTACAGGATACTATTCGACAAGGCCTCACATACGAGCGAACATTGACTCACGCACGCGTATTCTTGTGTATGATGGAAGAAAATAAAGAAAATGGTGTACTTAATACTGTGCAGTATTTAACTGCCTAAATAATAATAAAAACACAGAATGTACTTTTTTAAGTTGCCCCAAGACACTGAGAGGTAAATGAGTAGTTAATATTATTCATGATAATTCATGCTAAATCATGTATTTCCTCCGCCATTTTCCGCAGTTTGGCACCTCACGTCACATCATTTTACCGCAGTCAGCCCTATAGCTTCGGCGCAGTGCCGATCACTGACCTTTGTCAACAAAATGGTGCTTGATTCTTGAGACAGGCTAAATTACACCATATTGTTAATGACATTGAGCATACATTTTTTAAATACCTTCGCGAAGTAAAACTTCTGTACGTAATACTTATTATTATTCTGTGGTAATATTCACAACTGTTATAGATAAATACTTACGTAGATTTTTCCGAATCTTTTTCAGCCTGTTGGTTCCATCGGTAATCCAGAGCTTTGTATGCCCGATCCACTTGATTTTGCACGTAGTAAGCTAATTTCTTTATGTTGTCCACGCGCTTTGTGGTTAAGGGGTCTGTTTGGGTCCATTGGTGATCATTAGCTCTGAAGCAAGAATGATGATCATCTCAAAATAACTTCTCAATGTTAAATCCTCTTAAGGAGCTCCAACAGAAGATTTAACATGAGTTATTTTTGGAGTCCATATTGATTGAAAACTAAAACACATAATTAACTAGTACTACTACTAGAACTGTGGTTGACTGGCAGAGAATGCCACTTGGCATTAAGTCCGCCACTGTACAGTTTTATGTGCAAAAGTATAAATAAATAATTCATATATCTATTCAGTAACATTTTTCTTATTTGCATTATCCTTTTTGAGATGACATACTCATGTCACAGACAGGGTTCGAGGATATATATCGNTAGATTTTGCTATGCTCTCTGTTAGTTAGGTAAGTGTGATTGCCGCGCTCGTTGCGAAATTGGAAAAATGCTGCCTTAGAGAAGATTTTTGATAATTACATTCTTTCCTATTTCGTCGTTACAGCCAAATGACGTTCACTGCTGGACAAAGGCGAGAGGCCTTTGGGTTTTCCATAGGTTTTTCATAATGAACAGTCCTGCGCTGCCCGCATTCAGGTTCTTCCCGCGACCTTTACCAGATCGTCGGTCCACCTAGTAGGAGACCTGCCCACGTTACGTCTTCCAGCCCGTGGTCGCCACTCAAGAAATTTTCTGCCCCAACTCTGTCTGTCTCTACGAGTTATGTGTCCCGCCCACTGCCTCTTGATTTTAGCAATTCTGCGTGCTATGTCGGTCACTTTGGTTCTCCTGCGGATTTCCTCATTTCTAATTCGATCACGCAGGGAAACCCCGAGCATAGCCCGCTCCATCACCCTTTGGGTGACCTTGAGCCTTCTTATGAGGCCCATAGTAAGCGACCACGTTTCAGAACCTTAAACTTTCCTATTTATTTCACGACTAGCTTTTGCCTGCGGCTTCACCTGCGTGAAATTTAGTGTCACAGATCGGCATAAATTAATCTGGGTTACAAACAAAACAATAATATTGTACAGTTTCAACAAAATCCGTTAAGTACTTTTTGCGTGAAAGAGTAACAAACCTGAGACACAGGAATCTTCCTAGTTCAGGTATCAACCCACCAACATTCTTACTTTTTATTTTTCCTGATTGTTTGTTATCATAATTATCTGTTATGTTGGTGAGAAATAAACATTACTTTACTTTATTTTAAACTTCCAGACATCCAAACTTTCGCATTTATAATATTAGTAGGATACAATTATGTAGGTAATGTAGAAACAAACAAGACAAAAAAAAAATTATACTTCAGCAACGCGAATTTTTTTATACTTCAGCATATTTAGGTTACCCGGCAGCGTGTCCTGCCATGATCAAAGAAAAAAGAACTCGCAATTTAGCAGGTACATTACTTTGACTGTTTCATAACTCTAAATCTATTTAACTTACATTCGTTCGTTCGTTCGTTCGTTTCAGCCAAATGACGTCCACTGCTGGACAAAGGCCTCCTCCAAGGCTTTCCACAATGCACGGTCCTGCGCTGCCCGCATCCAGGCTCTTCCCGCGACCTTTACGAGATCGTCGGTCCACCTAGTAGGAGGCCTGCCCACGCTACGTCTTCCAGCCCGTGGTCGCCACTCGAGAACTTTTCTGCCCCAACGGCCATCNAAATAAGTCGCGGGCGGCGACTAGTTACTAAACTACTACTAAACATTACTTTGTATTTCTTCATCATCATCATCATCATCATCATCATTTCAGCCATAGGACGTCCACTGCTGAACATAGGCCTCCTCCAATGCTTTCAATGTTGATCGATTGGTTCAGCGCTTACCTGCTATCTTTATGATGTCGTCGGTCCACCTTGTGGGTGGCCGTCCCACGGTGTATTTCTTTCATGTACTCGTAGAAGAACAACCGTTCGATTCTATCAAAACACATGTTTCACGGATGACCAGTAGGGCATGAATATCGGAATCTCGGAATCTCGTAATATCGGAATCTCGGACTGCGAGATCCGATATTTCAATTCCGATATTGAGCGACCCAATATCGTAATATCGGAATCAGATAAAAGTTTTAATTGAGATTTTAAACAAAGCGTTTAAACTTGCCACAATCTTCCACAAAGCCCAAAGTATATGATTGGCAAAGACCAATGATTTTCTCATGTCTCTCACCATCACTTTTTGTTCCACTGCAAATATTTTAATATCTTTACTATTTATGGTTAATTTAACTTGTTCTAAATCAATTTTAGCATTTGCTATAGGTACTTGGTCAACAAAGAACGACATCTCAACTCCCTTTCAAACATTAATTTTACTGGACTGTGGACCGTCAGTTCTGCGTACTAACTACTATGTGCCCTGCCCATTGCCACTTCAGCTTGCTAATCCGTCGGACTATGTCAGCGACCTTAGTTAGTTTACGGAGCTCCTCATTTCTGATTAGATCTCGTAAAGAAACACCAAGCTTATCCCTCTCCATAGCACGTTGTGCCCTATATTCAAAGGCCACGTTTTCGAGCCGTATATCATCACTAATTGAAGACTTTCGTCTTCGCATTCGACGATTTACCTCTTTCTCGAAATTGCATCTAACTACCTAGCTGATCATTTGTCCGAGATATACTTACTTGTCAACAATCTCGAGAATCGAGCTCCTAACCGAAACTGGGTAAGGAGCAACATGGACATTCGACATAAGCTTCGTTTTTTCCATATTCATCCGAAGGCCTACCTGTTGGGAAACTTGATTAAGGTCTTCGAGCATTGTGATAAGGTCTTCCAACGGTTCTGCCTTAGTACGCAAAACAGACGGACGATGAGGCAGCAAGGTTCTGAAGTGGAGGCCACGTACCGGAAAGCGCAGCGTAGGACTCATAACCACAAGGTGGACTGACGACCTCATAAAGGTAGCAGGAAGGCGCTGGATGCAGGCCGCCACCAACCGGCCATTGTGAAAATCATTATCGGAGCCTGTGTTCAGCAGTGGACGTACTCCTATGGCTGACATGATGATGATGATGGCCCGTGGTTTTGTGAGTTGTACATCGATAATCAAAAAGGAACAAATTACAAACATATTCAAGTTTTTTACCACTCTCTACAAATTTTGTAGCACGTGATTTGAATGACTCTAAAATTCGTTCCGACAACATAAAACAGGGTAACATAATGAAGGAGTAAAAGTTTGTTTGATACCTGTGATTTTACAAAAACACTTTAATTATTTGCTAGTCCATATAAGCTCATTATCAGTAACCATTCATTATTAGGTGATCCGTCTGCTCGTTTGCCTCTTGTCACATAAAAAACCAAATGAAATGGATACCCATAACGTAAAAATGGTTTTAAAACTTCAATTTTATGAAGTTCTGTTTTGTACAAAATTAAAGATTTTGATTACAATCATTATTTTATTGTAAACATTCCAGAATTCTTACGAATATAACCAAATATTAATTTTATAGCACATGAACTCAATTCCGATATTAATATCGGAATTCCGATATTGAGATCTAATATCGGAATTCAATATCGGAATTGAAAACCTTCCGATATTACATGCCCTAATGACCAGCCACAGGCGGGTTTCACACGACTTAGTTAACAAATTAGCGATGGGGTCGTGCTCAGTCGACCTTATGATTTGTCATTAGCCTAAACTATGGGGCGAAAGGGCGTGCGATATGGCAGGTGGGTGGTAATGGGTAATCGGGGTATCGGGTGTGGGTAAATGCGCTACGGGTAATTTTTGGGGTAATGCCGTAAACGTTTTGATAGTGTAGGTGCATAATTATACTAATTTATGATCACTGACAGACATAGACTGGTCAGAGACCGAGAGATAACCGCCTCTGTGGTTTAGTGGTAAGACCACCGGATTACTAATGTTTGGCCAAAAAACGTTTCCCAAATTATCACATCGCAAACAACGTTTCGCAAATTTCATTAATTTGGCAAAACAACTTATTGCATTTAAAAGCCTAGTTCTAAACTTCATTTCATTAAGGAAAGGTTTTTACCCCAAAAATGTGTCTTTAGAAGGATCCAAAGTCACTTCATCAAAAAATAGGTAGTTACGCTAGAGCCAACTTTTATGGCTATAAAACTGTTAAGTTGGGATTAATCGCTATCCATCTGTTAAAGAGGACACGTGTGATCGATATTTGGTTTTATAACCATGGTCTAATTGATCCCAGAGGTAAGCCCAAAGTGAGGTCTTTTTTCAAGTCACATTTATGGTATATGTTAATCATTTATTAAGAAATTAAATGTGTTTTTCTTTAAGGATATTTATTGGACTTTCAAATAACACCAATACTCGTATTGTTGGGGCATAATGATTGTGTCAGAAGAAAATCTTTAGAGTTCGCGTCGCGGAAGGTGCGGTTTATTTGATGTTGAGTATATTTTCTGCAACCATACTAGTATTTTCTGCACATCTCTTTGTTTTACATACAATTCTTGTGAAAACCATGATCATCTGCCTTATGTTTTGATTTGTGGGTAACGATGGATAAGTATGTGATTGTGAAGTGTCAATTTGACCAAACAAATTATTTGGGATATAATATTTGGCAAAATAAAACATTTGCTATATAAACATTTGCCAAGTAAAATTTTGCCAAATGATAATTTGACCAAATTTAATGAATTACTAGCGAAAAGTACAGTTGCTAAAAGTTCATTTGGGAAATGAAACTTTGGCGATAAGTTGTTTGCGAAGTGAAATTTGGCGAAAAGTAATTTGGCCAAACGGAAGGATACCTGTTTAATGTATTTCCTGTATCTGTTAATAGAAAAAGAGGCTGACAAAGGTGACTGAGTTTCTTCCGCCACTTCTTCTCAGCACCAGCCCATATGTTGTCCCTAAGTGGTGGTAGAGCAAGCTATATTTCGGACGTTTAAAAGCGCTATACTATAAGAGTCTACTTGCAAATAAATGAATTTTATGACTTTTTTATACTATGCGTTGTCAGAAGGGACTCGAACCCAGAACCTCTTAAGTGACTAGAGGATGTACCACCGTTTATACTTATTTATTAAAATATTCCGTTTATTCCCAGGTCCGGGCCTGATCGACGAGCTGGTGGCCATCATGCCCCCGGTCGGCGACGGCTGCTACGGCCAGCAGCCGCTCGACGCTCGCCGGATTGGGTAAGAAGATCATGATCGTCAACGTCACTATCGTTTCCATCATCATCATCAGTGTTGGCATCAATATCACAATCAATATAATCATTATCATCGTCTACTTCAACGTTGTCGTCCTTATTATCATTATTGTATTCACCATCGAGCACATTAACCCATTAGGAGCATTATAGGTCATCTACAATACTGATGTTTGACTTTTTATCAAAAACATAGGACTTGAAGATTTATTTGATCTAAACCAAATCTTAATGTTGGATTATGATTTGGATTAGTTCAAAGAGTAGTTTTGTTGGATTTTCATAAAGCTCAAGATTGATCAAGAAGTACCTAATATAAGATTTTTTAAAGAAGTAGCTGGTTATTTAAAGATTTCTAGTTATGTTTGATTTTAATACAAAATTAAATTACTATTTCGTTGAACACTCACTCTAGCTAAGTTTCTATTCTAACTTTCAATCCTTTCAGGGGCCACCAACTACCAGAAAGCCCCCCGGACTCAGGCTCAGAGAACCCGTACTCCCCGTCAGAAGTGCCCCACACCATCACAGTTCCCCAAACTGTCCTAACCTCCGACTATATGCTGGTACACGACCATATGAACCATGAGATTCTCCAGCCAGAAGGGGATTACATCTACGAGGAGCTGAAGTCGGATAATTTGGATCATGAGGTGCTGAGGAGCAACCTGAATGATGTAGTGGTTCTGCCACAGGATCCGAATATTGTGGAGCTGGGGATTAGGACTGTGAGGCATGAGCTGGGGTTGTCGGATCCATACAACAGGTATAAAATAATTAACTATCCATATAAAAGTGTATTCCGATCGGGCTAACTGCGCACCTCTAACTGCAATCCTACAAGAATGCCTGCATACGAGTTTGCTATTATGTTTCGATTTCGGCAATGCCGAAGTCGGAACTGAAGAGGCACCCCCTGGTACCCCCCAGCACTTTGGGGTAACCTACCGATTCGAAGATTGAAAGACAATCACACCCCCCACCCCCCCGTATCATGACATAGACCGCAGATTTGCCATGAAGATTAGGGTGGAGCACGGTTGTATGGGAAAAAATTTTTTTTTAATTCCGAAGTTCTAATAGGGGGGGATTTGTGCCTTATATGAAAGTATAAATAACTGTAATTTTTTATCCCATTTAATGAATATCTTCTGCCTCCGCAGTGGCTTCAAAATTTTAAAATTTTATTTAAAGTTGAAAGTCGTCTAAGGTTAAATATTGCGCTCTATTTTTATTAGTAAGAAGGTATTAAATGACAGATAATTTATAGATTAGATATTTACTAAGGTAATATAACAAGAAATACATACAAGAATTAGATAAATTACTTTAATTATTATGCTTGAAAATACTTTTTTTATCAAAATTTAGGCATCACGTTTCGCGATTCCAACTTGACTTTTATTGCACCTTATTAGTGACTTTCTGGATGCAGTGAGAAATAGAATCTTTGATCGTAATCTTCACAGGTCCCTCAACAGCTTGAGTGAGGTAGAGAAGCCTTAAAACAAAGATTTGCTCTCACCACCAGATTTGACAATGTGCTGAATTTTTTAGTCAAATAAATATCTCAAAAGCGGCTGTTTGGTTAAGTAAATTAAATCAATATATAAAATAGCATTTAAGTGTATCACTGGTACTTAAAAAATTCTAGGTATTGAAGGGTGACTCGTACTGTGTGACTTTAGTATGCGACGAGCGGCCAGCTCTCTGACATCGTAAGAAGACTGCTATCAGGATACTCGTAATAACTTTTTCTCCGGGTAACTAGTTCTTTAATCTTTCTTATGGTATCTGGCAGGCCTCTCGAGGCTATAATAATTTTAAACGGATGACGGGTGCCAACTTTGCATGATGGTTTTGTCTTAATCAAAAACCAGGAAGAAGCATAGACTTTAACCACAATAGTAGCCAGAGGTATCAAAATTTCTATTGGATTTTAAGTTTCTACAATACAAACGTAGTATTCGGTACGCTCGTGTGATCTAACGGGCATGTTACAATTCACCAGGAGAAATTATTGCGAGATTTTGTGAGAATACGCGTAATTACCGCCGAAGCAATTTTATGCAAGTTCTGCTGATCAGTACTCAGATAATTGGCCATTTCTGATCACATTTGTCCTTCAATTTGTTCAAATTTATAGATAGGCAGTTTCTCAGATGTTTCCAGAGCTTTTCCAGTAGACTATCTGACAAAGACGCGAGTCGCGAAAAGGGCCAGAAAAATTCTCTTCTCGCGCTCTCTCACTGCCCTTATTAAAATTATAAACCCAAAGCCTGGCTTTTTTGTGTATTTTACATTGAAAATATAGCATATCAGTAAACGATTTGTGATAAAAAAATAGTATTTTTATTTAAATATTGCACAGATATGTGGCGCCTAAGTGAGGTCTAAAACCAACTTTTTTTATAAATTCAGTGCCGATGCGGAGGCAGTTACTCTAAACCGAATTGATTAATATTTTGCATGACTTCATTTAAACCCTAAAGGCACAAAATTTTGACTATTACATTACAGTTATCTGAAAAAAAAATTTTCGCTCCACCCTAATGAAGATATGCCAGTGAGTACTAATCTGCGCGACTTGTGTCACCCCCTGATGCTTGGCACCCGGGGCGGACCGCCCCCACCCCCCCCCCCCCCCCTTACGCCGCTACTGTTGGAATGCGACTCTCCCTCCCACTCAGATTCGATAGTTCGCCCCGTCCGTGCCAGATCGTCGATGTGACGTTACTGCTGCCAGATGCGCAGTTAACTCGACCGGGTTGTTTAATGTTTGTTTTAAGAGTTCACCTTAAAATATACAGGGTTATTTCTTATCGATTCAACCAAAATGGTCACTATTCAAATCATCGGTCACACACAATGTCAGCAATGCGGTTGCCTGGCGTAGAGATTTGCGTACCACGGGTCGAGGGTTCGATCCCCGCACAATAGCAGGTACATGTGTGCATAAACTTAACTAGTATTTTATTGATTTTGGTGTTTAATTGGACGCCTAGGCTGTTCATTTAGAGATGTCTCGATTCTAACCAATGACGTCCACTACAAAGTCCACACAAAGGCCTCTACCGAGAATTTTCAAAGGACTTTTTAAGACACTATTCCCAGCTCCAGTTTCCACCGCTGCAACTCCTGTGTAACCAAGATCTACAACTTGGCCGCCAATAAAAACCCAACTAAAGCCTGGTCCGTGAGCACGTAGAATTTAGTCCAATGACCCCAAGCTACCCATCCTTATCGCTTGCGCGTAATTATATTGCTGTCGCGACTGTGCGACGGGCGGCCGCAGTGAGTGTGCGAGCGCGACAGCAACATAATCACGCGCGAGCGATAAGGATGGGTAGCTTGGGGTCATTAGACAAAATTCTACGTGCTCACGGACCAGACTCAGTGAAGGTCAAGTTTATCCCTTAGGAAAGTTAAACTGTTTTACAGATGTATTAATTGATGTTACCTACATGTAGTCTATTTTACAATACTTCACCTCGTTTACAGGTATGGTCAGATGAGAGTGGACCTGCCAGAACTAGAGCAAGGGATGATCAACCCTCAACTGGTGGCGTTAGGCCATGAGACCCTGACGCCAGTGTACACCAGTCTTCAGGAACCCAGCAGTAAGAAGAGGAAGCACTCGCAGGACACTTCGCAGGTCAAGTGCGAGCCGGGTGAGTGATATAAAATGTTCTTAAATGATTGAAAATGTGACTTTTCTTGATCCAAAAGTTCAGATGCCCAGAGGAATTGGAAAGATACATAGCTTAATGTTTCTAGAATTAAGGTCACATTTTTCGATCCGGGAATGGATCAACACCGTACGCCGTTCGCCGCGCTGTCAACCGCGAGGCAATGCGTTTACGTTACGGTGCGGATAAGTTTGCTTTACAGTACTGAGTTTCATACAAAGAATACTGACCTCCTCGAGTTGATACGGTTTCGATCCGTTTCCGAGTTTATAAGTGTGCTTCGTCCCATAAGCATTGGCCACACTATGTTCTGCAGTCAAGTCAATGTGAACGCAGTTCACATCATATGAGCATCATTGTCGGTCAGCGGTCCGAGCAAAACAATCTGTCAGGGCAATCTGTTAACGATGCGGTTTGCGTTCGTTACTCGAGCTCGCACCGTCAGATCGCTTCAATACAAAATGTTGTTAGCCCGAATTGATACAATAATAGGATAGTTTCCTAAAAAAATTTTTTTAGTCCGTCATGTTTAATATCAAAAATCAAATTGGACACATATATTTTTATTTGTCAATCTAACAAATAATTACATAGTTATGGTGCGTTGAAGTTCCGCACGACGTCACAACGTGCGACACTTTTATGCAAGCATCGACGTCATGGGCCTCTTCTTATGAACTTTGGCGCGCTTTATCACTTTAAATTTTCATTAGTTTGAAAAAGTGAAAAATACGTGTAGAGTATTTTTTGTTAAGTTAACTGACGGACTAATTAAAACTCGTGCTTTTTGACCCAGGAAACATCCCTATTATGATGCGGGCTGCGTTCACTTTGACCTAACCGCTGCCCGCAGAACGGATTCAGTGTGGCAAGTCCTTTAGTCTCATTCTCTTAGTTCAGTTCTCATATAGATGATACAATTTGTTCCAGCGGCCCTATCCCCCGAGAGCGCAACTCACGCGCGCCCTCCCCCCTCCGTGGAGGGTTCAGAGGCGGGAGACGACGCCCCCCTCCAGTGCATCAGATTCGTCCCCTTCCAACAGAATCTGACACACACACTGTACGACTGCAACTTGAAGCCGCTGTGAGTATGGAATAGAATAGAAATATTTTTTCGACTCTCGTAGAGCTTATGGCCGTTGAGGCAGAAAAGTTTTCCAGTGGCGACCATAAGACGGAAGACGTAGTGGGCAGGCTTTACACTAGGTGAACCGAGGATTTGGTGAAAGTTGCGGGAAGAACCTGGATGCGGGCAGCGCAGGACTAATAATTTTGAAAATACATGACTGCTGGACAAAAGCAGTCATTTGGTTGAAACGAACAAACTCTCCTCAAGGACTTCCACATAGCGCCGCGCTCTCTCTGAAATTCAAAAGGCCCAAATTAAAAAAAAATGGCCGGTTCGTGAGTGTAGCAACCCGCATCCAGATCGGATGGTCCACCCACACCGCTCTAGAACTTTTCTGTGCCCATGATCTGTAATAGCTATTTGGTTGAGTTCGTTTATAATGTTGACAGAGATACGTGCCATTGTATATATTTTTGATTAAATTCGTTGCGGATTTTATAACATTCTACTATCCTTTAGGTGGGACTGCTCACATTCACTGGTTGGGTTTAATTGGCAAGCAATTAGAGTTTAGAATACCATGGAGTTGTAGTGATGGGAAGCCGGATTAGTCCCATGCTCTTTTTGTAGCACTTAGAATAGAAATAAAAGCATTTATTTGTCTCAAAACAGGTTCAATTTACTGCAGTTTAACACAGATACAATACATAAAATATAGCGGTAAGAAACAAAAAGGTCTATGACTCAGTGATTGCAGATATAAACCCTGTAACAACCTTATCTTCTTTTCTTCAGGCCTACACCATCATACGTGGTCGGAGCAGACAAGGGTTTCAACTACTCCCAAATAGACGAGGCCTTCGTCTGCCAGAAGAAGAACCATTTCCAAGTCACCTGTCAGATACAGGTTCAAGGAGACGCGCATTATGTCAAAACGGCAGAAGGATTCAAGAAAATCACCAATTTCTGCATACACTTCTATGGAGTCAAGGTAAGGAAAATCTTAAATTATCAGGTCATTTATTTTGCAGGAGCCACCTCTTAACGACATGCACGGGAAGAGTGGGAGCAGTTCAGCAAATAATTTTATTTGCAGAATAAAATGTCATGAGTATTCTGCCGAAATCACACGGCCAAGTAAACTAGTGCTCAGTCTCCTATAGGTTTTTAAAACGTTACATAACAAGTAAAACCACAGAATTATAATGCCTACTTCGATAAAACTTACTTTGTATTCCTTTGCAGGCTGAAGACCCAAGCCAAGAAGTACGAGTGGAACAAAGTCAATCTGATAGAACAAAGAAGCCCTTTCATCCAGTGCCGTAAGTACTATACCTATCTCGTTCTCTCTGTCTCTCTCAAACCTCTGTCTTCCTGCTCTTCTACAACCTGGATAATACTATCCAGCAATTAATATTAGTGATATAAGCAGTATTTTACTGAACTAATCGACCAGTCTACCTTTCGCTTCCCTTATCCCCATTTTTATGGTCCTTCGAGCCGGATTGAACCGGTGATTGTATTTATATTTGCGCACTAATTCAATAAAATTCCCTACATTATTATCGATTCAGGAGCAGCTCCCTGCATTTACCACATATCCACTCAGCATGGTTTCGTAGCATCTCAGTGTATAAATATCACGACCGGTGGTCTTCCGTATTGGTCGTAGATAGAAGATACAATTCTATTCTTCTTTCAGCGTGGAGCTCCGCAGAGAAGGTGCAAAAGTCACAGTCGGAAGGCTACACTTCGCGGAGACCACAAACAATAATATGAGGAAGAAGGGTCGCCCCAACCCTGACCAGAGGCACTTCCAACTCGTGGTAGCCTTGAGGGCTCACACGTCGCATGCAGACTTCATGATCGCGGCGCATGCGAGCGACAGAATCATTGTTAGAGTGAGTATACCTTTCGAATCAGAAATGAGGAGATCCGTAAACGAACTAAAGTCGCTGAAATAGCCCGACGGATTAGCAAGCTGAAATGGGGAGGGCACATAGTACGCAGAACTGACGGCCGATGGGGCAGCAAGGTTCTGGAGTGGAGGCGCCTACCGTACCGTAGTACCGGAAAACGCAGCGGGCGACGTCAACCCACAAGGTGGACCGACGATATCATAAAGGTGCCAGGAAGGCGCTGGACGCAGGTCGCTACCAACCGGGCAACATGGAAAGCATTGGGAGAGGCCTATGTTCAGCAGTGGACGTCCTATGATGATGATGATGAGTATACCTTTGGTAGCTTTCAGGGCTCACATGTCGCACGCAGACTTCATGATCGCAGCGCATGCGAGCGCTAAAATCTCCGAGGGAGATTACATACACACTAAAACCGCATGATTTTAGATAAATACCTTAGTTCTTTTTTGCGGGGATAGGGGACAGGCCGTGTTATATGGGGCTCATCAGGACGACAGAAGGCCGGGGTCTACGCACCAAAAATACTCCGATGCTCCATCACTTCCACCTATACCACATGGCCACAGTCCCTGAAAAAAAGTCAAAAGAGAAGCTTAGAAATAATCCAAACTTTCAAACCATATTAAAGATAATAATACATTAAATTTGTCCATCCAGGCATCAAACCCTGGACAGTTCGAGTCTGACTGCACAGAGAACTGGTGGCAGCGAGGGGTGTCGGAGAACAGCGTCCATTTCAACGGTCGAGTGGGCATCAACACAGATCGGCCTGATGAATCTTGTGTTGTTAATGGTAAGTCGAACTCCTCCTAATGTTCTTCTGATTAATTTCGTTGCGGGTCCAATGACAGTTTAATTTTCCCCCGGGACAAACTTGGCCTTCACTGGTTGGGTTGTTGGCGATCAAGCTGTAGATCCTGGCTACACAGGAGTTGCAGCGGTGGGAACGAGAGGTGGGAATAGTTCCGACACCTTCATGGTCAAGGAACTCTCCACCGAGAAGCTCTGGGTGCAAGAAATTGCCAAGAAGGGTGCACATAGGATAAAAGTTTTGGACCGCCTCCACTCCAAGGGAAAAATAGTTTTGACGCGGCTAAGGGAAAAATATGCGAGACCAGGCCACATGGAAATCGGGAAGTGTGGGCCAAATCCTTCATTTATCTTTACAAAGTTTAGAGAGGGTGGTTTTCCTGCATAGAGACTAAACTACGTACCTGATGATTTTGATAATGATGCCTGCTCGATGAACCGACGACCTTCTCTTTGGAGAAAGCTTTCGTCCAGCAATGGACTGCCATTCTCTCATAACTCTCATGCCATACAAGGCCCATAATGATTGAGTAATTAAGAGATGATGATAATGAATATCTTTCCTTGACAGGTAACCTCAAAGTGATGGGCCACATTCTCCACCCGTCCGATGCGCGAGCCAAACACAATATTGTGGAATTGGACACGGCTCAGCAGCTACGCAACGTGCAAAGCTTCAGGGTTGTGAAGTAAGTTTAACAATTAAATTGGACAGTTTTGTTCCCCAGTCGATGAAGCACCTGATGTCTTGCCCTGAGAGCCCAAGCAACTGCACTCAGGAGGATTTGATGAGTGCTGCTGACAACGCCACTCTTGTGGCGGAGTTTTGGGCTGACACTGTGTAGGTTTGTTGTCGACACGAAAAGAAGAAGATTAGACAGTGACATTAACCAATAATGAAAACCCGTTAATTAACGATCTAGCGCTTAACTCAGTCAGTGCCTAAGGTATGGGAGACACGGAAGGGGTGACATTGACATAATTATGACGTGACAAAGTATAACAGCATATTTTGAAGTCTCGCTGACGTTTGACGTCACAAAAACACCCTCCCGTGCCGCACCCATACCTCAAGCACTGACTGAGTAAAATCGCTAAACCTAGCTACCACCATCTTAACCAATGAGGGCTATCGTTTTTATACTTAACAGTTGGCACCCCTGGCGATTGACAGGTCCTTACTCTACAGTGGCGCCATCTTGATGAGTGCAAATACGATAGTCCTCCTACCACTTTAGCACTCACAACTTGGCGCCACTGTCTTCGCTACTAGCAAATGACAGGACCTTACTCTACAGTGGCGCCAACTGGTGAGCGCTAAAACGATAGCCCTCATTCTGTCTCCACCACAACAAAAACTTAGCATTGTTGTAAGATTACCAGTTCCTCAGTAGTTGAGGATCATCGCTTTCCAGAAAACAAGGTCTAGAACTTTCCCATGGTCGTTCAAAAAGGTAGATTTAAATGGTGGCTTTGAAAACAGCGATACGGATCGCAACCGAGTCAACTCGAGGCGGTCAGTATTCTTTATATGAAACTCCGTACTGTCACGCATACTTATCCGAACCGTAACGTAAACGGCTCGCCTCGCTACGAAAGGCGATAGTGTTGATCCGTTTCCGGGTTGATAAGTGTGCTTCGTCCTTTAATATAGTCTGGTCGACTATGCGCGACTGTGCGACGGGCGCCCGCAGTGAGTGTGCGAGCGCGACAGCAATATAATTATGCGCGAGCGGAAAGGATAGGTAGCTTGGGGTCATTGGACAAAATTGAGTTTGTTCCGGCGTTCCACTCAGCACTTGCCATATGTTTGTCTCGAAGCGCTGGTAGGGCCCAAAAGATAAGGAGACATGTAAAGTGCCCCATAAGGGCTACCTTTTCTTTTTTTATTATTTTCTATTGACGTTCATAAGTGCCACTTGTGGTCTAAACTGAATAAATATTTTTGATTTTGATTATAATTCTACGTGCTCACAAACCGGGCTTCAGTAATATTTTCAACCCCCAGGTTCAACTACGACCCCTCATTCGCGGAGCACTCCGGCCTGCTCGGCTACGACCCCTCAGCTCCAACCCCCCAACTAGACACAGGGGTTATCGCTCAAGAGGTCCGCAGGGTCCTGCCTGAAGCTGTGAAGGAGGCAGGAGACGTTACCCTGCCTAATGGAGACACTATTCCCAAGTTCCTGGTGGTTAATAAGGTAGGTAATCCTTGGTAATATTGTAAAGGGTTAGATTAGCCGTTTGTTTCTAGCAAAGTATAAAAGGATCAGTCCACTCATCCCGTGGATGTCGATCAGACCTCCCAAAGTCCCCAACCCGTCTGACCAGCGTGGGAAGTGTAGATCGAACAAAACCATAAGGTGGGGTAAATTAGGGGGCAAGAATTTTGTCATCATCACTATGATATCCTCATCAGGACATAATGGTCTCCTCCACTACAGTGGTACGACTGTGTCCACTGCAGCCCACTAAAGCTTGACAAATGGAGGATTTAATTTACACTCCCCACACACGCTGGCTAGATAGGTTGATTTCAGAGTTTGTTTGATCTAATATTGGAAATGAAAAAGGTCATTAGTGTTTGGCACAGTAAATAAATTGTTGAAGAAAGATCTGTAACAGACTAATCCACGCAGAAACTGGAAAAAAACACAAGACTAATCAGACTTCTACACAATATCCTATTATTTTTTCTCCAGGACCGAATCTTCATGGAAAACCTCGGGGCGGTCAAGGAGCTGTGCAAAGTGACCGGCAACCTGGAGTCCAGGATTGACCAGCTCGAGAGGATGAATAAGAAACTCTGCAAGTTCAGTATACTGCAGAGGAGGGACAGCTCCAGGTCTAGTGTTAGCAATGGTAAGTTTTTTTGGTACCACCACTTTCCATTAGTTGAGGGCCAATTGGCCAAGTGCTTCCTCGTAGTAATTTTTTTTTCCAGTTTAGGGTGGATTCGACCAAACAAGAGTAAATATTAATCTCAGAATAAATCGTCAGTTTTGACATAATTCCCATACTGAAACTGACTGTCAACGTGCCAGTTATCATCATCAACAGCCCTTTACAGTCCACTGCTGGACTATGAGCCTCCTCCACTATAGTGTTATACCAGGAGTTATTCTCGGATAAAAGTTTGGTCGAATCGGGCCTTAGTTACATTAAAGACACAAATCAGGGAATATCTGAAAATACTTTCTGTGGTGATATAATAACACATTATGTCGTTCGTCCGATGACGCCATGTAAAAGGTTTATGAATATTCAAAAGGATTAACCTCAGGGCATGTTGTAGGTCCACAACGGTTCATTAAGGCTTGTTTTAGATCAATAAGTCTCCACACTTTGTGATCTCAGTTCTTACATCCTACAAAAATAAAGAAGATGAGCTCTCCCATTCACAGATTCTTTCCATTACAGAATTTGCGAAAGTGTTGTCCCTTCTTCAATAAGATTTATCTTTATTAACCGCTTCCAGATTCCCGCTACTCAGCCGCCTCAAACTCCTCAAAATCCCTCTACTCAGATGGCAATATTTCCATAGACCAAATCCGGGACATCGCGCGCAACATCCGACGCCACGAGTGTTGCCACAAACTCAGCCACAACTCCCCTAAATACACCCGAAAACAGTGCAAAAACTGCCACGGAAATTCAAAATTGGGGAAATATTACAATTATAACAAAACTTGCGTGAGATATCACTCAAGTAAAGATGATAAAATTGAGCATTTGGAACCGAAGTACGTCGAAACAAAAGTACCAGAAGAGAATTATAGTACTCCTATTTCTAAGAAGAAAGACCCGTGTATTTGGTTGCGGGAGGACGAAAATTTTTCATATGGCAACAATTTGGCTTTCTGCTGCAGAAGGAAAGATTACACCGATGCCAGCAGCGAATTGGTGTCGAACAAGTTTTTGCAGATCGTAATAACGATTTTGATATTCATTATGGCTGTTTGGTGAGTTTTTTTCTTTTGTTAAATAAAGTATTTAATAGGTTAAATAAATTAAGTCTTCGATAAATATTTAGTACCTAATTAGTACTAAAATGTACGTTAATTAATAGGTTAAAATTAATTGAGTTACCTTTAAAAATTGGTACCTAATTAGTACTAAATAGTACCATTATAGAAATTAAAATTAGGGAATGTTGTATGAAGCGACGGCATCCGCAACCCGTCTGTCCAACATGGGGAGTGTAGACCAAATCCTCCATTTGCCTCTGGTAAATTAGAGGGTCGTGCTCCTGCACTGGAGACTAAATGACCTGATGATGTTGTCTTACAGCCTCGTAGTGATGTCCGCGCTCTACTTCAAGGAGCACCAAGAGTTGTTATCGATGAAAGACATCAGGATGCACGATAAATATACCAACTACCCTCATTATGGGAAATTCAACATGAATAACGCGCATCGGACACCGTCTGACCAAAATCAAATACAGGTATGCTAATTTTGAAAAATTTAAGATGTCACCTGTTTGCGTCCATCGCTCTGCTTGTGTAATTTAATAATATTATCGATAGGTTATTAAGGTAGAGATCAATTTGATCTAGAAAAAGACCATAATTTACCCTTAGACGCAAAAAAACGCAAAGAGAATGAAAATGTGTATGGCAAATCTATGTTATTTAAAAAATTGCTATGATCCTAGTCCGTCTAAATATAAATCAGTTCATTTTTTTTGATCAAGTAGGTACTACAGACGTCCATAAAACATTTTTTTAAATCTTTTGTTACAGAATTTAAAACCTCTACAGCATCCTACAGTCAAAAAAGGAGTCAAAGGTAAGATCAATTGATTATATCCAAAACCATAACTTTCACAGATTTGCTATGTTAGATTACCGGTAAAAACTGACAAAACGCAGTGACACTATACTTTAGAAGGCTAAAAGTAATTGAACCTGTTTTTTGCAGAGAAAAGTCCGCACAAAACGACGCAGGAGTACAGCACTAGTCCACCGACAGATCTCCCGCACACCATAGCCACAACACTATTGGCGTCCAGGAATTACGTCAAGAATCTCATCAGTAACAGTAAGATTTTTAATCAAAACTATCAACTCAGCAAATAGAAAACACTTCTTCTAGAGAAAATGACAAAACATAAACCAACTTTGTGGTATCTTACGAAGTTATCAATTTTTTGTGAATATGGAAGTACTTACTTAAGTTTTTTACTGTAATGGTAAAAAATAATATTCACAAATTGTAAAACTGAAAAATGATTTAAGAAATATTATAAAAATAATTTTATAATGTATTTATTAATAACTAGCGGCCGCCCGTGACTTCGTACGCGTGGATCCCGTTTTATCCCCTTTAAATTTTTCCTGAATTTTCTTTGCTATAAACCTCACGGAGCCCGAGACCTTTCCAACGAATGCAAAACCGTGGAAATCGGTTCGTGCGTTCTGGAGTTATAGCGTCAGGGAGGAAAACCCGACTTATTTTTATATAGTTTAATAATAATAATATTTAGTTAAAAATATTGGCCAAATTCCTCTTACTTACCTGGTATTACGAATACAACCCGATCGAGCTAACTGCGCATTTCGCTGGAATGCGACTCTCCCTCCGAGTGTACGTTACTCCAGCTGGAAAGTAGCTCCTAGAGTGATATGAGTAGAACGTATAATTAGTTCCCAACATGGTGTAAATGTGCGCCGAATTAGAGATTAGTGCGTGCTGTCGTTTTGGTACAAAACGAAAAAAACGATTCCTGCTGGAGTAACGTTGTTCTAGCAGGAAAATTCTAAACGAATGATCGGAAAGAGAAAAACTGTGTATAGCCTGACCAGGAACATAAAAACCCTGGCATAGAGGCGCTTCAATTGCATTTGATAGTGCAACACTGAGTACAGTCGTACCTGTGTTAAATTAATAGGCTAACTTTATGTTTCAGGATTCAGGATTACGGGCTAATTTGATATTTTCATAAATTAACGAAAAAATATTATTATAGGTAACCTGGTTTAAATAAATTAAATGAAACCATCAATTGAACTAAACTCAGATTTTTAATTCGACGGAATTTTGACATTTCAGAAGTGTTGTCAACATTGAAACATTCCCATTATGAATGGAGAGCATTTTCACAAATTAAAAAATAATCCTTTCTTAAATTTAAGGTNTGGAGACCGTCATCAAATACAACCCTAATATTCCCGGTCCATCCAGGCGACATCTTATATGCCACTTCAACCGACACAAGGGTGGAGGCCAAATAATATGCAACAGATGCAGCCTCCAGATGGGCCTACCAGAACTCAACAGATGTTCAGAGCCCTTCCTCCCAACTACAACCCTCAAAGTAATGTCTTTAGATTGGCAAGACCCCAGCAGCAACCCGCGCATAACTTCGGCGTCCCACGCCCTATGAGCGGCGTAGCCCCCTTTACCCCTAAGCCGTTACCTCCAACTGGCCATGATTGGCGCAAATTCGGCAATCCACCGCCAAGCAACTATTTCAAGACTCGTGAAGTTAACTTCAACGACTTCACTTATGATTACGATCCTCATTACGATTGTGAGCCTCAGTATGACTACTATTACCCAGACTTCAATGCCTACGAGCAATACCCTGATTATTACTATGAGTATGAACAAGACCAGACTACAGAGTCTCCCGTGGTCGAGGAAACCGGACATAACATTCCCTCAACTGATGAGGAAAATTTTCAGAAGGTCCCGAAGTCAGACAAACGAAAATAGAAGTAAATTTTCACATCCAAAGGCAGCTGGGCTACATACAAATTAAATACCCTCCTTTAAAGCTCTTGTTAGATACAGGAGCCAATCAATCCTTTATTAGCCCACAGGCCGTCCAAAAATACTTTAACCACATTCCACTTAACTATGAACCTTTTCAAGTAACTAACGTTCACGCTACCAGCAAGAGCGACCACTCTATAACCTTACCTTGCTTTAATGAATTTAAAGAGGAAGGCGACATTACATTGTTCGTGTATGATTTTCATAGCTATTTCGACGGTCTTATTGGCTTCGATTTACTTGATACTTGGGACTCTAATATTGACTTAAAAAATAAATCACTTATAACTCGCAATGCAAAAGTCCCTATAGACATGTACGACTCACGCAACGTTAACTTGTATGAGGAAATTATACCGGCTAAAACATCAAAGTTAGTTCGATTGCCTATAAATAGCCAAGACGGAGATGTATTTGTGACAAGCCAGGTCATTTGCAACTGTTTGATTTCCGAATGTTTAACTAAAGTAAAAGATAACCGCGGTTGGGTAGAGATCACGAACACTACACCTAATGACATCATCTTCTCAATGGACCGCCCGGTTTCAGCTGAATTACATAACATTTACTGTGAAAATACCGAGATTTTATCAGACCGAACAAAAGAAGTTTTATCACGACTACGTACAGATCACTTGAATATTGAAGAGCTGACTAACTTACAAAACTTGTGTGCTAACTACGCGGACGTGTTTTACCTTGAGGGGGAACCTTTGACGTTCACCAACAAGATAAAACATAAGATAAGAACCACTGATGAAATCCCGGTACACACTAAAACCTATAGGTATCCGTATGTCCACCGACAAGAAGTTCGCGATCAGATCGAGAAGATGCTCGAGCAAAACATCATCAGACCCTCAGACTCTGCATGGAGCTCTCCTATTTGGGTCGTCCCCAAAAAGGCAGATGCCTCAGGCAAGGTTAAATGGCGTCTTGTCGTGGACTTTAGAAAAGTAAACGAGAAAACGATTGACGATAAGTACCCGATCCCTAATATCACAGATGTTTTAGATAAACTCGGTAAATGTCAATACTTTACAACGTTAGATTTAGCGAGCGGATTCTATCAAGTCGAGATGGACCCTGTAGACATTCCCAAAACTGCATTCAATGTCGAGAACGGACATTATGAATTTTTGAGAATGCCGATGGGACTTAAGAATTCTCCATCAACCTTCCAAAGAGTGATGGATAATGTCTTAAAAGGTCTCCAGAATGAAATCTGCCTCGTTTACTTGGACGATATCATCGTGTTTAGCACGTCCCTCCAGGAACACATAATTAACCTGGAAAAGGTGTTTAAAAAACTACGGGAATCGAATTTTAAGATCCAGATGGATAAGTCTGAGTTCTTAAAATTGGAGACCGAGTTTTTAGGACATGTTATCTGTAAGGACGGTGTTAAACCCAATCCTAATAAAATCACAGCTATTCAAAATTACCCGATACCTAAAACCCCGACAGAGATCAAACGTTTTCTCGGCTTACTCGGTTACTACCGAAAGTTCATCCCAAACTTCGCGAAGCTAACAAAACCTCTCACGCAGTGTCTTAAAAAAGGCTCTAAAATAGTACTCGATCAAAATTACACCGCTTGTTTCGAACACTGTAAGACGTTATTGTTAAATGATCCGATTCTGCAATACCCAGATTTCTCTCGTGAGTTTCTGTTAACAACTGATGCCTCCAACGTCGCGATAGGCGCAGTATTATCACAAGGGTCCATAGGCTCCGATAAACCTATCGCATACGCATCTCGGACATTAAACTCTAGCGAATTAAACTATAGTACCATCGAGAAAGAGTTACTCGCCATTGTATGGGCCACCAAATATTTTAGGCCATACCTTTTCGGCAGAAAATTCCAAATTATTACAGATCATAAACCGTTACAGTGGATGATGAGTCTCAAGGAGCCCAATTCTCGCCTCACGAGATGGCGACTTAAACTTAGCGAGTACGATTTCTCTGTAACTTACAAGCAGGGTAAATGTAATACAAACGCGGACGCTCTATCGCGTATTGAGTTAAATAACGACGAGATCAGTTCCATCTTAGTTAACCCGTCGGAGAAAGATCTCGATGATTCTAGAACCGTCACAGCTCCAGAGGATGCTGATGAGTCTAGGACCATCACAGTTCACACAGACGTAGAACATCCAATACTCGAGGTTCCTATCACGGATGATCCATTGAACAGATTTACCAAGCAAATTATTCTAAACGTTGTAGGTGATATAAAGGGCCGCACTGTAGTAACAAAACCCTTCGATACGCACACGCGAATCAGCATCCAACTGTCAGAGTCCAATCTCGAGGAAGATGTCATTAACGCTATCAAAGAATATGTTCATCCTAAGATTAAAACCGGCCTTCTCATAAATCCTCCCTTGGCTATGTACCAAATAGTCCCAATTATACAGAAAACATTTAAAAATTCGGCTATGAATCTTACCATTGCTAAAAATGAACTAGAAAACGTTAGGGAATACTTGAGACAGCAAGATATTATCAATAAATATCACGATGGTAAGACAAATCATCGCGGCATCAACGAGTGTTTCTTAGCGTTATCTCACAAGTACTATTGGCCCAAGATGCGAGAGCACATAACTAAATTTATCAACGAGTGCACAGTCTGCGGTCAAGCGAAATACGACCGTCATCCTATAAAACAACAGTTTAAATTAGTTCCACCGGCTAGTAAGCCATTTGAATTGCTACATGTGGACTTACTCACTATACAAAGCGAAAAGTTTCTTACTATAGTAGATTCTTTTTCTAAGTACTCCCAAGCTTACTATCTCCGAGATGGCACCGCTTTGAGTGTAGTTCAAGCCTTATTAAAATATTTTACTCATCATGGTATCCCTATCACTTTGGTTTCTGACAATGGCCCCGAATTTAGTAATCAGTTATTTTCAGAACTTATGAGACTGCATAAGATACAGCATCATAAGGTTGCCCCTCACACTCCCAACGAAAACGGAATCGTTGAGAGATTTCATTCAACCATCTTAGAGCATCTGCGTATCTTAAAAATCGATAGGAAAACTGAGTCTGTAATAAACCTGATCCCTTATGCCCTTCTGGCTTATAACAGTACCATACACAGCTTCACTAAGTGTAAACCAATAGACATTATAACAGGTCATTTCGACCCACGAGATCCATTTGATATAGATCTCTCATCACACTTATTGCAACAATACGTAATTGATCATAGAGCTAAGATGAGTGAAGCCTATAGAATGATTCAAGAATCTTGCACTAGCCTTCGTAAGGAAATAACTGACAATAGAAACAGGAATAGAGAGCCTGAAGTCGATTACAGTCCCGAACAGCCTGTCTTTATTAAAAATCCTTTTGCATCCCGTCAGAAACTTGCCCCACGTTATACCAAGGACATAGTTATGGCCGACCTCCCAATTCATATTTATACCCGTAGGAAGCGCGGTCCAGTCGCTAAGTCCCGCCTCAAAAGAGTACCTAAAAGTGCCCAATTGTTACAGGACTCTCCTAGTACTTCATCTTCTCCTGCATCAGGCCCTAACACAGGAGATAAAACTTGAAAGCCTTGACGATGGACCCGGCATCTTACCGTTCCGATTAGGCCCTACTAATATTATCTCTAGTTACCATACGTTTTTACAAACTATTAATCTTAAAGACTTACAAACTAAAATCGACTCTATTTCTATGCAACTTAGTACTATTAGCCCTGAACTTAATAATAAGACGTCTGCTTTGTTTGAACCTCATCTTAACTATCTTAAAACTAAACTTACAATGTTAACTGAGCAGCTACAAACCTTTGAGACGACTCGCTCGAAAAGAGGCCTCATAGATGGTCTCGGTTCAGTAGTAAAAAGTATCACTGGTAACCTTGATTATACCGACGCACTTCACTATGATAAAGTTATAAAATCTCTGCAACATAAAGAAAACGAGATAATAACGGAATTGAATAGTCAGGTTAGTTTAACTAAAGAATGGTCGTCTCAATACACTCAAATTATCGAGAATATTGCAAATAACCAAATTATAATGCAAAACATACTAGAAAAAATCAAACTAAGCATAGCTACCAATGATAACGACCTAGTTAAATACGCCCATTTAGCACAAGTATTACTCATCTTAAGTGATAATGTAGATTCAGTAACTGTAGAGATAAATAAATTGCACAACATTTTAGCCTTTATTAGAACATCTACTATTCATCATTCAATCTTGAGTTTAACAGCAATTAGAGATATGATAAATAAATTACATAATTTGTACGACAAGGAAAGCATAATTAATTTAGATATCAGAGAGTACTACGATATAATCAAATTAGGATCTTACTACTCAGGAAATAGTATTATAATAGTATTTAAGTTTCCTATCATTTTATCTCAAGTATACGATTTATATAGACTATCTATTATACCTAATAAAAACCATGAGATCCTTACCTCATCATCTCCTCTCCTTGCCATCCATCTGAAAGATTTCAAATACATAGAGGCTGAATGCCCGAAGACAAGTAAAGGGTATCTGTGTAAGGAGATGCGGAATCTGCAGAGCAAGATAGTACCAGACTGCATACATCAACTTATC